AATATGGAATGGAACAGAAAATGTATGCGGCAAAATGGCGGATATCAAGGAGGAAGAATCTCATAAATGGCTCTGACAGCCAGTACAGAGGCAAGGAAAAGGAAGCAGGGCTCAACAGTAAAGCACAAATTTTGCATGTGGAAGGTCTCAGGTTCAAACCCTTCAAAGGAGCTCAAGTAGCAGGTCTCCTTCTGAAGGATCTTCTTCTGCCCAAGATCCTGGAGAGCCACTACCAGCCAGAGTAGAAAGCACCAAGCCTGATGGACCAATGGTCAACCACTAATAAGGTAGCTTCATGTGGGTTTGGTTGCCCAACTTCCTTTCTTACTTCTGAGTGGCAAACACTTGGAGCTAGGTAGAAGTGAACCGCCCCCAACCATGCACCTGACAAGGTTTCATGTCACTGGTGTTTCCCCACTCTACAAACTTATATAATCACCTCAGGTGGTGCAATTTCAAGCCTTCTACAGATAGATTCTCCGGCAGCTCTTTCAGCGGTGTGTTGTCTGCAAGCAAGTTACTAAGATACAAGGGGTGGCCCGCGATACTCGCGGGGGGGGGGAGAGAAGAGCTCTGTCTCCTCTCCCCCCGCTCGTTCTCCCCCAGGCGGCAGCGGCGAGGCCGGTCCCCCCCCCCCCCCCCCCCCCCGGCGGCGGGGCCGCGCCTCCTGGCAACGAAGCCATTCCTCCCCGCCTGCCCGCCCTGCCCGCCCAGCCTGCCTGCCAGAGAGGAGGCGGCGGCGGCGAGGCCAGTCTTCGCCCGCCCGCCCGCCAGGCAGCCTGGCCTGCCTGCGTGCCAGCCGGCTCCCAAAAGGCGACGGCGGCGGCAGCGGCGAGGCCGGTCCTTCCCCGCCCTCCCCCTTGCCCATGTGTCTGCCTGCCCGGCCGGCAGGCCAGCCGGCTCCAAAGAGGAGGCGGCGGCGGCGGCGAGGGCAGTCCTTCCACCTCCCTCCCTGCTGCCTGTGTGCCTGCCTGCCTGTCTCCCTTCCCCCGCACAGAAGCCCGGTAGGTCGCAGAGCGTCTCCTGCGCACACGCAGGAGACGCTCTTGCACTTTCGGGGGGATTTAAACATCCCCCCAAAATTTTTTTCAACTTTTTTTATTTTTGTGCACATGTGGGGACTGGCCCACATGTGCACAAACCTCCCCCGGCCCCCCAGCTGCCCCCGGAGCACTAATTTAGCTATCCGCACTCCGGGGGCAAGTTGGGAATTAGATATATAGATAACCTCTCCAATAAACCCTGCAGACTTACGCTTGTTACGTGTGCTGCTTGCTATGCATTCACAAGCATATACATCACAGCATTTTGAGACGTATTTATAAATCTACACTTCCTCATGCATTCTTGCTGGGAAGAGCACCCTGAAAGTCCTATGACATTCAGAGAGACTAAGCCACAGCCCTGCTGTTAGGTAAGCTTGCACAGGGTCACACTAGAAAAAAAAAGAGTCCAGTAGCGCCTTAAAGACTACCGAAATCTGTGGTAGGGTATGAGCTTTTATGAGTCACTGCTCACGCCTTCTAATACCAACATGGGGTCACATTACTGAGAGGGGATTCCTTCGATCTAGTTCTCCTTTGCCTCTTTTTTTGGAGAGCTATGTATGTCTTCAGAGGCAAACTCTTCTAAAAATTTTATCTCCCACAGATACCTTAAAACATGCTGCTTCATACAGGACAGGTCACGACTTCTTGGACAAATATAAACATTCTTTTTTAGCTGCTGAAATGACAGATAAATTATCCCCCCACTTTAAGCAATGTCTGAAATTCATCTTTCCCCCCCTTAACCTATCCATACATACCCAACCAAAGCAATGCTTTGATTTCTGACCTATTGTACCAATTGAGCTTATGATGGATGTCAAGATTTTTTAAAAAATGGTTTACAAGCCACACTTGGTTCACCGCCGCCACAACACTCTTAAGTAAGCCACTAATACTCCTGTTGCACATGCCTATCTCCTCCCCGTTCTGTTGTCAAAACTCTGGCAAGGTAGGTTAGGCTTAGAGGGAATGACTGGCCCAGGTTCATGCATGAACATGGCACAATGACAGCTTTGGATCCAGCTCTCCCCAGGCCTCGATAACTTGCTGAAGACTAACCCGTGTTTTCTGGATCTAGAAGCAAACCGGACTATGCCCAGAGTTTAAACATGATCCATGACTTACCAGAATTGAACTGCACAAACGGTTTTTCTAATGCCAGAGCTTGAAGTCGGAACATATGAGCATCGAACCTAACTTATTGTTGGCCCTTTGTCTTTATCCTGAAATTCTCCTCACCCCCTGCCCAGTAGGTATGTGGGAGAAGTGTTGGAGGCCCGAGAATGACCAAGCCCCAAGCATCTCATTTTAAAACCAGAGCATCAGGTGCAATACATTTTGCTAGCATGAAATCATGAGGTTGAAACTCATCCTGTTTTTCTGGTGAGAATTGACTTCCCAAAAAGGCGGTGCTAGGGGTCATAGGACCTAAGCGGGTTCCTGCTGTGCAAGTTTTGCATCGTTTAACGTGTGTGTGATCTTGATACTTATGTGTTGCTTCACCATGGCTTCTGATCTCTGGTGGGTTCCGGATTGCTACAAGTCAAATCCTATTCCATTGTCTATTGGATGTCCCATCCTGTTGATGGTGTTTGACTGATTCTGTGTCATGCAGCTTGAGTTCCAGTGATACAGGCAGACTATAAATAATGCAAATAAATAAATATAGGAAAGTCATTTGGAATGGGGGAGCTGTAGTTAGGTGGGGAATTGGATGAGATTGAGCAAAGAAGCTGGCCAGAGCCAACCCATTTATGTGCAGCAGCCAGTAATAGCCTGAAGAATAAAGGCACTGCTTTTTAAGGTAATGGCCTTGTCCCAGCCCATGTCAAATGGGAACTGATAAAGCACAGACCTGCCGTCAAAATAAGTTATTTGGCCATATTCTTCCTTGGCTTTGTTAGTAAGTGTCTTGTACACTTACACATACTTTACCTTCCGATGATATTTTAAATAAAACTGAAGAGTTTTAACTGGACTTCAGTAAAGTATACAATAAGGATATTATTATGTATAATGTGAAGAGGAAATTTACTGAACCCCCCCCCCCAAGAATGGAAGTTACATCACAAATACTGTTATTTCCTCTTCTTGCATCAAAAACCCAAAAGCTATTCCTTCGCAATAACTGTCGATTTCTCTACCAGGTTAAGGCTTGTTTCAAATTCCTCTTTTTCAGTACCATTAAAAAAAATACAAAGCTGTCTTATAGAAAGTCAGACTGTTGGTCTAGCAAGGGCAGTCTTGTCTACTCTGACTGGCAGCGGCTCACCAGGGTCTCTTGGGTCAAGGCCTTTCACATCAGCCTCCCACCTGATCTTTTTATAACTGGAGATGCTGGGAACTAAACCTGGGACCTTCTGCATGCAAGACAGGTGGCTCTACCTCTAAGCCACAGCCCTACCATTAAGTTGGTCACGATTAAGACTGTTCGAAGCTTCTTCCTATGTGACCATACCTTACCTTTCAATGCACCCCCCCTGACAATCTGAAAAATAAACCAACTGTGCTTCCTGGAAGCATCCTTATACCAGCATACATCAGTTGCACCAAACGTATGCTCAATACATGTTGGTCACTTCACACATGACATTCCTTTCCACAGGCATGCAAGAAGCCCCTCTCCCAACTGTACGAAGTGGCCCTTATAAGCGGAGCAACACCTGTTCCCTCGTGCGCGTTACCATACTCAACTCGCTTCATTACTCAAACCAGGAAAGGCTTCTTATCAGGTGTCCGGCACCAAGAGCCTTGCAGAGATATCTGCATGTTATTAGTCCACAGAGAGGTTTTGCTCACCCACACACGTTGGTGGCACGAACAATCGCCAGAAAAAGAACTGGGAAGAAAAACAAGCTCAGTTATTTTCCAGTTTGCAGAAGCTTCACCACTGTGCGGCCGCTCAGAGATAACACAGTGGAAATCGAAGCAGAGTTACATCCTTTTGAAGGCACCGAGTTCAGTGGACTCAGAATGGGGTAACTCTGCTTGGGACGGCACTGTCAGAATCTGTTCCGCACATTTTACATATGGAAGACACACCAAGCCAGTCGCTTCAGTGGTGGACATTTTAGCCCAACTCCCCCCAGACCCAACTCACAGACATATCAATCCAGCTAACATTATATCACACACAGATTTTTCTCCCCCCATCCCCGTTACAGGAACAAGGCACACATTTCAGTTCTCTTTTTGGTTCAGAAATCTTTGTCCTCTACATCTCTTGTGTGATGAAAAATGCAGTTATCAAAACCGTGGGACCATAGTTCATTAAAGATTAGCCTGAGATTTGACATAGAGACACAGGATCCCTATCGCATACAGTCACATCGCTTTTATCTGTACAGAAAAGTGTCACTATCAGTGGGCACAAGCCTCCCTTCGCTTCACAGGCAGCAAAGAGACCTTTTCTTGAGCAACAGAAAAAGAGATTAGCAATCTAATCTGCCTGTTCAGCCTCCGGAAAGCTATTCATCCCTTTTGCTCCGGCTGACATTTCTCCTGCTCTATTCATTCAGCATTATTGCTTCTCCAAACTCTTTTTCACCACCTAGTTCCATACAGGAAGTTTTAACCAATTGTCTAATACCCTAAACAAGCACAGAAAGAAGAAAATAATTACACTGGTATAGTACAAGCACCTGTAAGAATTGGGAACGATTCCAGCCTTTCACTGAAGTGATGGAACACAGTTTTGGTGGTGGAATTCCAAGTGGGAGCAGGACATTTTTAGCACCAGATGCAAGTTAACCTAACAAGGAGTTAACTACATGCCTCTTTACGTTTTACTGGAAAACTTGGAAGTCTGAAATTAGCCTTGCTATTCCCACTGTTATTGACTGGTATGGATGAGCAGGGGTGTCAAACATAAGGCCCGGGGGCCGGAACCAGGGCTCTCATCCGGCCTGCGAGCAACTGGTATGGAGGGAAATGTAAGGTCCGGTGGTACTCCTTCCACCCCTGCCGCCAGCTCCTTCTGTCATGGCGCTCTTCAAGCAGATGCGGGCGAACATGGGGAAGCTGCTGAAAGGGATCAACAGGTATAACCCAGAGAACTTGGCCACCTTGGAATGCTATGTGGAGACCCAGGCCAAGGAGAACGCCTATGACCTGGAGGCCAACTTGGCCGTGTTGAAACTGTATCAGTTCAACCCTGCCTTTTTCCAAACCACGGTGACCGCCCAGATCCTGTTGAAAGCCTTGACCAACCTGCCCCACACTGACTTCACCCTCTGCAAGTGCATGATCGACCAGGCTCACCAAGAGGAGAGACCCATCTGTCAGATCTTATACCTGGGCGAGCTTCTGGAGACCCGCCACTTCCAAGCCTTCTGGCAAATGCTGGATGAGAACATGGATCTCCTGGACAGGATCACCGGATTTGAAGATTCCGTATGGAAATTTATTTGCCACATGGTGGGGATCATGTACCAGCACATCGACTGGTGGTTGCTGGCAAAGATGCTAGGGGATCTCACAGACAACCAGCTGAAGTCCTGGATGAGCAAGTATGGCTGGATGGAGCCGGAGCCAGGAACCATCTTCATCTGCATTGTGGAGAAGATAGACTTTGACAGCATCTCCAGTATCATGGCTTCTTCACAGTGAGGCGACTGCTTCCCTGCGTGACTTATATCCAGTCGGCCGAGTTTATTTCAGCCCTTCCTTTGTTACACAGCCAATAAATGTCTCCCATCCAGTCCCCCCCCCCAAAAGGAAATGTAAGGTCCCTTCTATGGTATCCCTTGGAAAAAAACTAGTCTTAGGTATTATTAAATACATTTACTGGGGCTTTTGTGGGTTCCTCAATAAATTAAATGCTTTCAATGCTAGGAATCAATAGCTTTTGTATTTTGAGTAAAAAAATAATATGGTTAATTGGTTTTGCCTGTGTCCTTTATATAGTTTATATCTTTGGTAACTGGCATTACATTTTATGGTACACATGGCCTGGCCTGACAAAGTGACATTTATGTCAGATCTGGCCCTCATAACAAATGAGTTTGACACCTTTGGATTAGAAGATCTCCGAGGCCCGTGTCCTACCAGTCCACTCAACCCAGTCGTAAGCCTTCCCCCCGCCTCAAGAACCCTTCTCCAATTTAAGAAGCTCTTCCACTGGAAGAACTATTTAATTCAGTTGAAGGTTTCAGACATTGTCGAGCACAGTGGTAGGATACAGGGCAGTGGTATCAACATGCATGGAATGGACTAGAGGTATATATAAACTGCTCCAAACCCAAAGCAAATTCAAGCAGCCAGCATAACACAGGGAAAGCTTCACACATTCCAGATGTGTGGTATGAGAAGTCCTACAATGTCAAACTGTAGATGGTTTCCTAGAAGGGGGAAGGGCGGGCCACAGGACAGGAATGATTCATCAGCACTGATGGAAGCGGAGGGTTCCATTCCGTTTATGAAGAGGGAAACTTAAAAGACGTGCTGTGGCTCAGTGGCAGAGCACCTACTTCGCATGTAGAAAGTCTGATGGTCAATCCCTGGCATCTAGCATGGAAAAGATCCAGTCCTAAGTGATGTGAAGGACTTCTGCCTGAGACCCCGCAGGGTTGCTGGTGTGCTAGAGTACACAAGCTTATTGAAGTAGAAAAAAAAAAGAGTCCATTAGCACCTTAAAGATTTGTGGTAGGGTTAGGTGCTGTCCTGAGTCACTGCTCATTTCTTCAGCATCACTTGGTGTCTGAAGAAGTGAGTCGTGACTCACAAAAGCTCATACCCTGCCACAAGTGTTGTTAGCCTTTAAGGTGCTACTGGACTCTTTTTTTCCTATGCCACAGACAGACTAACATGGCTACCCATCTTGTTCTCAGCGTACTGCCTGAAGTGGACTCAAAAGGGTATATGTCTGCTTAGGACGGCACTGTCAGAATAAGGTAACTTCGTGTGAAAGACTGAGAAGTTATTGATGGTGAACAAGCTTTGGTTGGCTATAGCTCTACAGGTATTTCTGGGTCCGAGCATCCCAAGGGGAGGAGGGTAGAACAAAGATAGAGTCCTGTCCAAGGGACCTGGGAATTAACTAGCATGCTTGCAGAGTTAGACAAATAACAGCTTGGGAGAACACTGAACAGCTTGGGAGAACACTGCACTCCATCACCCCCCAAAATTAATGCCACTCTATTACAGGAGACCGTCTTTTTATCATGCAGTTTACACTCCTGACAGGCAATGGAGTCCTGTGAACAAAAATTCTACTTTGTGAGCTACTGGCATTAAAGTTGTGAGCAGGTGATTTAGCTGCTGCATAAATTAGTTTGCACCAGAGCCATCCTTCCTGAGCTAAGACAAAAATGTGTGAGCCACAGGATAAAAAATTGTGAGCTAGCTCACACTAACTCAGCTTAGAGAGAACACTGCTGACAGGTATCTTTTAAGGATCTGCTCTTCCCACAAACTTTAGCAACACTTTTTTACATGTTGTTGTGCCGGTGCATTCTCTAGTGAGCCCAGCATGTTCCCAGCTGCACATAATATATGCCACCCTACCTACGGGAGCACTCCTGAAAAGGTTGGTCAAGACTTCATACCTTCTACATTTGTCATCAGAAAGGATTCGGACACTATCGAGAGATGCCATCTGGCTGCCTACAGAAAGAACAGCCTATCATGTGCAAGTCACGGCAGCAGATTTCACTTAAGACATATGCAACATGATTCATGCCAAACCACCGTAAACATGTTACAAGCCCTTCATTCATCCTTCAAACATCTCTTCTCAGTCACCCAGAGGCATTACGCTAATTGCTTAAAAAAGAAACTGAAGTGGAGAGCCCAATTTACCCATGGCATCTTAGCTATTCCACAAAAATCCTGGGATTAGAAGCCATGGCAAGGCTCAGACACTAGCTATCAAGCCACTATTGGAGGAAAGACGATGGGCATTCAGCAACTGCTGCTGCTGACCTCAAAACATAAGCCAAGCAGCCGGCCATGCACCAGTGCCCCATCTGTAAATGGGAGCAGGTCCGTATCACAGAATATTCCCAATCCACATGAAACTCCAGGTCGCAATAACTTCTTGTTTAAAGAAACTGTACCTGGCACTGTAAAGTCGTCTTGAGCAGTGGTTCCCAACCTTTCAGTGGGGTGACCCACAAGCAGTGTTCCCTCTAAGCTGAGTTAGTGTGAGCTAGCTCACAGTTTTTTAGCCTCCTGCTCACACATTTTTGTCTTAGTTCAGGAAAGATGGCTCCAGAGACAACTAATTTATGCAGCAGCCAAATTGCTTGCTCACAACTTTAATGCCAGTAGCTCACAAAGTAGAAATTCTGCTCATAAGACTCCACAGCTTAGAGGGAACATTGCCCACAAGTCCAAATTTATTAGGTATGGTGACCCACTTTAAAAAAAATGAACAGATCACAGACTAAACTGCAAAACCCAAGGGCCCGCTTTCACAGGCTCTGTAACCCACTGGTTGGCAAACATTGGTCTCCCACCATTTGAACTCGCAAGCCCATACCTGCAATTGCTGTAAAGCAGTCCCTGGACAGAAAATAAAAGAAACAATCCAACAAACATGTTCAGTTTGAGGTTCTTAGCTTTTATTTTTGAGGAGGGAGGGGGAAATCATTGTTATCTGTACATGCACACTTCATTGATCAACAATGATGTGCTGCTATGTGCTCTCAACAACAGGGGGCAGTAGTAACTTCAGAGTCGGTGCACAGAACATAGAACAGTCAGCTTTCCCAGACGCATTTGGAAACGAGGGAGGCTGAAAGGGGAGCAAGCTGCCGGTCACGCCAAACATTTTTCTTCTGCTGAGAAACACAAAATCGGCAGTAAAAACTAGTCTTTCAAATCAAACCCCAGGAGAAAGAAAAGTGTATCAGGATGTAAAAAGATCTTCTCTGCAGCCATAGTTAAAAAATATTTTTGCATGGTTATTGAAAACACAGTTGTTTGGATGACACAGGCTTGCTTGCCTCTTCAGTCATTCCCAATAATCTCAAAAGAAAAATCAATCTAACTCTTCCAAATAAATAAAGATTTTTTTTGGATAAATAATTTTTAAAAAATCATTAATATACAATTACAAGGACTTTTTTTTTGGTTTGCAGATAGTGGCAGCTTAAAACTTGTGTTTGTAATTGCCTGGAAGTCCTATGACCTTGTAATGAATTACTGGACCCAATTTCCAAATTTATTTTTCTTCTACACCAAAGTGACCCAAGTTTGATGCCAATTGGTCACTTACATGTATTGGGGGGGGCATTAGGACATCTGCCCAGTTGATTTGAAAGAGTGGGGGATTAAAGAACGACCTTTGAGGGAAGATACCTCTGACTCAAAGGAGAAAGACCTGGTTGCTAACTTCACAGCATTGAAGGGGCTCCCACATACACCCTTTATGATTGGAGAACCATTCAAGAAACAAAAGAGAGTTCTGTTGGAGAGTTCTGAGTAGCTTGCCAACTTCATTGAAAACTGCCAACCATACAATCCAACTTTGTCTGCCCAACCCTCTCCTCAGTAGTCCAGACACAACAGACAGTAGTTTTGCGGAAGGCCCATTTCCTTTTTCCCAGAGACCAAAATTCTGTAGCTGCCACATGAACAATCCTTGAACAAGGCTGCGTCTTCAGTTTCCATTCAGAGCTGCAAAAAAGCCTCCCGCTTTCTATAGCGCAAGAGAAAAAAACACACACACCCAAACGAGCAATGCAGTGCAAGCCTCTGATGATTGTCCCTTGTGTTTCAGGAGACAGGTGAGGGATAGTTGAGAACGCCTGTACGTATTTGTGCGGGGGGGGGGGACGACACACACACACACAAAAGGGAGAAGACGGGAGAGGTGTGAAAATCAAGCCACCGGGTGGGGCGGGGGAGGAAGCACCCACTTCCAGCCGCTCAGCAGCTGATGGCGCTGGGCTGCTGTTTGCTGACAAAGTCCGAAATGAAGTCAAACTCGTTCTGTCCCAGGAAAAGTTCCGGCAGCTCCTGAATCCGGTCCAACCCCAGTTCCATGACCAATGAGGTCAAAACCTCTTCGTCGACGAGATCCGTGTCCATAACGTTCAAGGTCAAAGCAGGGGAGGGCATATGCTGCATGCCAGGGTGCTGGCCGGGTCCCACCCTGTATTGCTGCGCACCTGTGCCCACGGGCCCGTTGCTCATGCCCATGAGAGGATGGCCCTGGTACTGGGTATTGAGTTTCTGCAAGTGCATGCTAGCCATAAGTTGCTGAGTGCCCACAGGTCCCATGTATTGCTGCTGCTGCTGGCTGGGATTGTTGAACATCATGGCGTTGGGCACCTGGTGATGCCCCATCTGTCCACTGATGCCTGGCCGTTGCCTACTGCCTGCGTCCAGGTTAGGGTTTCCATACTGCATCATCTGGTGGTTGGCGGGTATCGTCCTTAGCATGTGCTGTCCGTGCTGGGGAGGGCCCTGCAGCCCATTCACCCCCATCCGGTAGCCCTGCAGCCCGTTCACGCCGTGGCTCATCGACATCATCATGTGGTCCGCCATGGCAACCTGGGCACTGTAATACAAGAAGACAGGTTACAGGCAATGTAGGGACTGGTCGTCATGGTCTTTGACTGGACAATAAAGAAAGCCAGTATGTCAGTTGCCAGGCAAGAAGGTCTAAACAGCAACTCCTGATAGGGGACTGCAGATATTTGCATTTATTTATACCATGCTTTTCTCCCACTAGGGACCCAATGTAGTTTGCAACACTGTTCTGCCCTCCTCCATCGTATCTTCACCCAACAACAAACCTGCAAAGGTTAGGTTGAAAGTATGTGACTGGCCCAGGGTCACCCAGCAAGCTTCCATGGAAGACTGGGGATTTGAACTTGGGTCTCACTCAAACTCTAGTCCAGGACTCTAACAACTAGGCCAGACCAATGACCAGTCAGCCCTATTGAAGGGGTCTTCAAGAAATGCATTGAAAAAGGCTGGCTTTAAGGGGACAAAGACTGAGAGCAGCATCTACCATAGATGCATGCTATGAGTGTACTGAAATTGAAATAAAGGACAAAGAGTTCATTAACTGAGTGTGATTTAACAGCAACCCATGAGAGGCTTTGGGAGAGGGGTAAGGGAAGTCAAAATGGCATACAGCTGGAACAACCCCCAAGATGCCATCAGGGGCACCAAGGCTACCTGAGAAGGAAAGAGGGCACCCAACTCCAAAAGTGGCAGGAAGGGCTAGGTCATTCATGCTTGCAACCGGCCTCACAGAGCAAACAATGCTGCCCCCTAGTGCCTGGGAGGTTAAGACATGAGTCCAAAGGTTTGCTTCACCTCAATAAGCTTACATCATTATACATTTTATTAGACTTTAAAGTGCCACTGTACTCTGGTTTTATTCTGAATGAAAACTGGTTACTCAGAATTCGAGCCAGTGCCTGGAAGACACATCTTGATTTCACGAGTTGTGTTGGTAACTATTGTTTTCCTTAAAAAATCCGTCTGAAGGTGAATTGCAACCCTGCGGAGCTCCACGCAGAGAAAGTCTTTTTCAGCCGGCCCCTGCCAAACAAGGTGGCCGCTTGCAACAGCCGCAGCTCGGGCAGAGTCGCTGGAACGCCCCGCAGAATGCAAGCCTTTTGCGCCCGTCTTGCGTTCCCCCACCCCCAACCTTCCTCTCTCCCCCCCTCCCACTCCTTGCCGGCTCCAGGCAGCTCCCGCTCCGGCACATTCCGCCAGCACAAAGATCAGCACTTTAACAAAAGTTTAACCCTTTCGCGTCCCTGCCTCTCGAGCTCAGACAATGCAAGCGGATTCAACGCGGGCTGCAAATTGCGTGTGCGCGCTTGGCGGTGGGGAGACAGGCGGGCAGGCTGCCGGGGCTCCTTCCTTCCAACCCAGACCCGTAAAGCACAGCGGCCTCCGCTCCCCCACCACCACCTTAGCCACCCCCTCCACCGATGTCACGTCCCGCTCCGTGCCCCTCTCCCCAGATACATACCCCGAAGGCGGCGGCGATCCGAAGAGAAGCTCGCAACGCAACAAAAGCGGGCGGCAGGAGCGCGGACGCGTGTGGGTTTTGCGGCGTTCGCACCCCGCCTGCCTATAGATTCACCCGAGGAGCCCGCGTGCAACCCCGAACCCAACAACCTGGGTGCATCAATTCCCCCGGCCGCAAACTGCCTCCCCCGCCAGCGCTCCGCGCTCCACTGTGTATACAGCAAGTAGGTTAAACGCCGACTTTATATATGCAAAAGAGGGGCGTGCCCGAAGGCCCCACCCCCCGGCTTCTGATTGGCCCCCCTCCCGAACAGAACCTTTCCCTCCCCAATGGAGGCCGGCATGCGGAGCCCGCCTACCTGTTTTTGTCTCAGCGGCGGAGAAGGAGGGCTTGCGAGACAATGGCGGGAGCTCGGTGCAAATGCCCGGAGAGGCGGACGGCGTTTTCCGCGGCTGTTGCGGGCGCCTGTTTGCAAGCGAGCCGCAGGGCTGGTTGGAGCCGAGGCTGCTTCTGCCCTGGCGATTGGCGCAGGGAGGCTCTTGGCCAGCCGCGGTGCCCGCCCGGATGAGCTGCCCTCTCCGGACGCCGCGCTGGCCTTTTTTGCTGTGCAAATGGGATTGCGGAGCGCCTCCGAGGACGCTCCTGCTGGCGGGGCTCTTACGCCGTCTCTGCTTCCGCAGCCTGGCCAAGAGAGAGAGAGAGAGAGAGAGAGAGAGTGTCTTTTCCATCGCCACGCAGGAGGAGGAAGGACAGGGAACGTGGTTGTTGTTTTGGCTGGGAGCCACCGGGGCGCTTCTCGTGATTGCCGCACACCTTGCCCTGCACGTGTAAGACGGCATTGCTTGCACGTGGGCAAAGTTTGATCTTGTAAGGCTTTTCCCCGAGAAGGAGCTCCGAGGCTTTCCCTTCCCTTGTGGCAAACATCAACCTTGCGAGGTAGGCTTGACTCGGCAGGGACCTCACCAGGCCGCTCTGCCCCCGTTTTATCCTTGCAACGGCAACAACCTTGCGTGGTGGGGTTGGTCTCCACTCTCCAGGAAGCTTAAGAGGTTGCGCTCTCTCCCGTTTGTTTTTGCAACAACACCCCCGTGGAGGAGGCTAGGCGGAAAGAATGACTGGCCCGAAGTGAACTTCATGGATAATCTTGGTTCATGTTAGTCCAGGGGTCCCCAACCTTTTTGAGCCTTGGGCACTTCTGGACAACACAGCACAGCGTGGTGGGCACAGCCACCAAATGGCCGCTGCAGGAGGTGGAGCCAACCACCAATGGCTTCCGCTGCTTACATTCAGCCACACAGTGCAGATCCTTGTGAAGAAGAGATTGGATTTATACCCCACCCTTCACAACCCAAAAGAGTCTCGGAGCAGTTTCTGCTTTCCCCTCCCCACAACAGACACCCTGTGAGGTAGGTGGGGCTGAGACAGCTCTTTCAAGGACTGCTCTTGAGAGAACAGCTCTGAGAGAACTTGTGACTGACCCAAGGTCACATCAGCAGCTGCATGTGGAGGAGTGGGGAATCAAACCCGGTTCTCCCAGATTAGAGTCCCCTGCTCTTAACCACTACACCAGACTGGCTTGCTGTGCTTGGTAGTTGCTGCCAAAGCAAAGTTTAAAAAAAAATATTCAAATCTCCAGTGGCCAGTCAGAAGCCTTGCTGGGAAAAACCCCAAATGGTCCCACGCACTTTCTAAAAACATTTGTCAGGCACCAGGAAAGGTGTTAATGGGTGCCCTGGCCGCACATGTGCACCGTGTTGGGGGACCCCTGTCTTACTTCAACATTCTAACCACTGCACCACACTGTCTCATAGAGAGAGTCATTACTGCAGACTGGTATCTGTCCAGAGTACTTCCATTCTGGCATAAGATCTATCAGTCTCCTGATTTAAGGCAAAGGGAATTGATGTAGAATTCTGTGTCCTTTCTTCCTATTCTGGTATCTAACCACTATATAGCCTTGCCTCTCCACTGACACTGCTTAACCTGTAGGCGAGAGAAAGAGGATTTCTGTATCCTCAGGTGACCTTATAAGAATGCTGCTGGACCAGAGTCCTGTACTCCAGGATCCTCATTCCCCACAAAGGTCAGCTGAATACTTTTGAGAAGGTCGCACGTAGACCTTCTGTTTACAGATACACTGTCTCTGAATAAGGAGGTTCTGTTTAACTATCGGTGTCAACTTGGATCAGACCAAGGTCTGTCAACCCCCACTGCCCTATTTCCAATGGTGGATAATCTTTGGGAGATTTCAAAGTAAGGGACATCAGGCAGATCATGAGAGGGAGGGCAGGAAGGGCTGCATCAGTGCTTAGTTCTTAGTTCTTAGGTCAGGAAGCAATTTTCTCCAGGCCAGTTTGGCCAGGGATCCTGGAGGGTTTTGTTGTTGTTGTTATCTTCTGGGCATGGAACAGGGGTCACTGGGGGTGTGGGGGGAGGTATTTGTGAATTTCCGCATTGTGCGGGGGGTTGGACTAGATGACCCTGGAGGTCCCTTCTGACTCTATGATTCTATGATTATCCTCTTTGCCCTCTGTATATTCAGAGGTACATTGCTTCTGAACATGGATGTTCCATTGTACTGCTTTTGGCTCATAATTGTATTTTCCAAGTTGGTGCCTTAGCAAGGAAAATATATCTTCCTGAATAGCTCAGCTATTCACAAGGGTCAGGCAGGAACATCTGTCCTTGGGTGTATCTGGGGCATTACATTAAAATGTGAAATGTCGCATTGAAGTTTGAAAGACAGATCTGTGTGCTGGTAACTCTACGTATGTTCACCTGGGAGTAAGCTCCCCTGAAAATGGGTGTGTGTGTGTGTTTGCTGCCGCACATGTCTGTGACTTATAACACTTGTCTGTAACTTACAGTTCTGAGTGAAACAAGCAGAACTGGGCTGTGCCACACCCTGATTAAAATGTGTAAGATTTGTTTTCCAGCTGCTTCTACAGAATACCAGCAGACCGGTCCCCCACAGGAGCAGAGAACCTTTAAATTAACCAAAGTTTTTATTATTCTCCGCCCCACACCACATTCGTAGTAAAATAATACGTATTCTGGAGAGTGGTATAAACCTGAGCCATCTTTCCCAGCAAAGTGCAGGATAGAGGTTAGAGTCAAGCTAGGATCGGGGAGACCCGAGTTCAGACCCCCACTCTGTTGTTGAAGCTTGGCTGACTGCGGACCAGTTGCTCTCTCAGCCTAACCTACCTCACAGGATTGTTGTGCAGATAACTATGGAAGGAGGACGTCGTAAGACGCTTTGGGTCCCCATAAGGGAGAAAAGCTGGGCATAAAAGGCAGGGAAAGCCCAGGCTAGCCTGTTCCTGTCAGATCTCGGAAGCTAAGCAGGGTCGGCCCTGGCTAGTATTTGGAAGGGTGACCTCCAAGGAATACCAGGGCATGAGGCAGGCAGTGGCAAACTGCCTCTGAAATGTCTCTTGCCTTAAAAACAAGTCTAGCTCGCCACCTAGTGGTGCATAATGTTAAAAGAGCTAGAACTTCTGACTGCCAGACAGTCTTAGGATCTCTTGGCTAGTCTGCACACAATGCCATACGATTATTATTGCAGGGCATAAATATCTACATAAATAAATCCACTTGCTATTTGAACAGAGGGGTGTTTATGCTAGTTAGTCAGTGTGTGGTAGTAGTTAAGAGTGCTAGATTAAGATCTGGGAGGCCCCGGTTTGAATCCGCACTTGTGCCATGGAAGCTTGCTGGGTGACCTTGGGCCAGTCTAATCTACCTCATGGGGTTGTTGTGAGGGTAAAATGGAGGAGAGGAGAAGGATGCAAGCTGCTTTGGGTCTCCATTGGGGAGAAAGGCAGGGGTGTAAATGAATTAAGCCAAGAAATTATGCTCACTGTAATGAATGACAAATAGTTGTATATCCCAGTAACAATCTCTCCATCTTTAGTTGGTGAAACATAGGAGCTGGGGGACACTGAAGGTGCGGATGGACTCAAACTGATAAGAGGAATGGGAGAAGGACAGAGAACCAGATACTGGGGAAACGGCCACATTTGTCTCAGACTTGAAGTTCCTCGCCTATTTCCTTGGGAACATGAGGCACGACCGAAGGTTTTATCTCTCATGCAACAGATTTCCTTTTGCGGCTGGGCTTCGTATGGGGACAGTGGAAGGTTGACTTCATCGTAGATTTTGCCAGCCACCAAAGGGGTTGGGGAAAGGAGGGGTGGTGTGTGGTTCTGCCATGTTATTTGAAAACCAAGTGTAAACTCAAGCGGCGAGGAGCTGAAGTGCGGAAGTGATGCACAGTGGGAAAAATAATCCCAACTTGAAACGGTGGAGATGGCTGTTAGCGCTCTGGGAATAGATTCTTGGAGGTTGTCCTGGATTCCCTCTCTGGAAAACAAACATCGGCACAATGTAAACAGAAGGTTAGCGGCAGTTCATTGTTCAGAGCTCTGTTACTTGCAGAGAAGGAGAGTTGAAGCTGATACAATGCGCTCCATTCTTCCCTTCTCTGCAGGGAAGCTGTTGGGCGGTGGCATATTGGCTAGCTTCTTCACTTTCAAATCGAGGAGAACTGAGTGCAGATCCCCGCTCAGCCAAAACTAAATAACCACAACAAAACACTCCAAGGTCAATCACCATCTCTCAGCCTAACCTACCTCACAGGGTTGGTGTGAGGCTCAGCAGAGTCGGAGACGGCCACGTTAAGCTCCCCTGACCTCTTTGGACAAAACACAAAAGGGCTAAAATGACAACTTCATTCTTGTCCATTTGTAGACAGCATCCCACATATAGAAGATACTTTCCAGAGCAACCCTAAGGACACTTTTGTGAGAGTAGGCCCATTGAATAAAACTGGTCTTACATCTGAGCAGGCCTGGTTAGTCTTGCTCCCTTCGTCTGAATATTTGGACGTTGTAAGATCACTGCATGGGGTGAGGGTTCTGTTGAGGCTATAAGAGTGGGAAGAAATTGTTTGTGCTTCCCTCTGAGCATTTTCATTTCTTAATTCACAAAAGTCTTCCTCATGGAGACTCGAGGCAGATTACACACAGTGTAAAGCAATACAGTGAAATAGCATGGGAATCTAAAAAAGCAAAGTTAACAGGTCTGCAGTTACAAAAATTAGAAAAGCACGAGCCTAGGAGAAAACTCTTGAGAGTCCCCTGGGCTGCAAGGAGATCAGATCAGTCAACCCTAAAGGAAATCAACCTTGACTGTTCC